CACCAAATTGTTTTAATTGGAACAATCTTGAAGAAGCTGTTAAATCGAAACGTTGAGCGTTTAATTAAATAAAAACAACAATTTGGTGTTATAAGGTCGTTTATTTCTAGTATTAAAATACTATTGTTTTATTTTATTTTATCGTGTCTCTTTTTTGCTGATGTTAAAACATTTGTTCCTAAAATTATAAGAATGTAACCACGAAAGGGCGATGCTACTGATATGTGTTTTAACGGTGTTAATAATTTCGCTACAATGTGGTAAACGTAACAAGTTTTGAGTTTTCTTAACAAGAGTTCAAAAGGAGCTAGGTAACCATGGTACCGAGGTTTTCCTGGTACTAGAGAGTATCTGAAATCCCTAGAAAAAAAATATTTTTCTAGTTCCACTAGTGTATAGTTGGATAAGCTATAAACAACTTTATGCGGAGAATCTAAAAAAAAAAATTAGCTTTTTTGAAACGTAAAAGGATGCAGCTTCTTGAGATGATTAAAATGGTATTTCTTAAGTTTAATATTGTGAAAGCACTCAACAAAACAATTCAAATAGATGAAATCCAATAGGCTGACAACACTTTCTACCTAGTGTTTTAAGTCCAGAAAATCTTTAAGTAAAGCTTTTCTGGCTGGTACTTTAAATCCAATTTCAGAGTCCAAAATATTTTCGTTGCGTGAGTCGATATTATTTGTCTTCTTGAGAGTGACATTATCAGGTTTGAAATTATGAAACTTCGAAATTAAGTTCTACGTTTCTCAATCTCTTAGAAAAAAAAAAAAAGATGGAGTCTGGATTTATGTAATTTAACAATTTTTTTCTTAAATTTACGAAACAGTCCAAAAGGTGCACACCATATTTGCTTTCAGTCATCGTATTTATTTTTGGGAAAGAAGATTGCACACTTAGTTACAAAATACCAAGAATGAAAACGTTAGATAAGTCACGATCAACAACAAGATTAACCTCTTATATATATATATATATATATATATATACATTATATAGATATAACATTTCACCGTCTTCTCTGCATTTTTCCAGGTGGAAAATGAAATCAAGGCATAATCAATCAACCTATCTTCTACCGACCGCTACACTGGCTTCCGCTT